CAACCAAACTCCAACCGGATAGGCAAGTTTAGATCAACATCTCGCCTTATGTATCCTGAGGGAGGTTTTGCCGGAAAAACACTTCAATTTCATGAGTCGTTGCCGAAGATATGACTTGCCGAGAGGCAAAGTTAGGAAATATCGTTCGAAGAGCAGCGAAATCCTCCCGTTAGTATTGTACAGTGTACATATGTTACCGCACAGTCCCTCAGGACTCCACAATAATGTTCTAACTTGTAACTCCATCTTTAATGGGGTGCGGTTAAGTTTTCATGTGTCGTAGCTCAAAGTGCTTCGTACAGTTTCATACAGAACCTTGGTAAAAATATATAGATGTGTTTATAGTTTCGAACTGCACAAGCAAAGTTATTACTGATTTAGGAAACCGGGGGCATTCTATGAGGCCGAGAATGGGTACTGTGTGTTATCCAGAATCGTGCCTATCTATAGTTCTATGTCTTAGGGTTAGGATCTGGCCGAGTTCTGTAGGGTCTCCGTGTATCCAAAAACGTAGATCCAGACAAGATTCGGGATACGCGTGGACCATTCAGAACCGTGCCTGAGCATAGTTATGGATGCAGTATGGTACCGGATACAAGAAGGGCGTTGTTATATTATTCGACAGTGTACTACTTGAGAGAACGAAATCTATTTATAATAGTACAAATCTTATTTATGATTTGTGAAATATGCCTGTCTTTTCGTTTTTAAAATGTTCAGTTTTCGTATTCGGAAACCGTTTTGGTGTTTCATGTTCACCTTGTCCAAACGTTCCGTGCGTCAATTGGGTCGATTTTTAAAGAACAAAGTCGTCCACCGACCAAAGTAGAACGCCGTTTTAATCTTAAGTGATCATGAAAAGTTAAGTAGACATTATGAAGGATCCATATTCAATTCATTGCCCTAAATCAATGTCTGTCTCTCGAACACGAGTCAACCGTCTGTGACCGATCTATATCACCATCCGGGCGGAATGTACGCAGGGGGAGTCGTAACAAGATAAAAACACCTTCGCTAAATCTTATTTGACAGGATGGCCTACAAACATACACGTAACAGGGTCCTGTTATAGGGACGTGTACAGAATTTTATGTTGAAGAGTCTAAGCTTTGTTACACTAGCAGAATACCGGTGCAATAGCTCAATTGGTAGAGTGCTCGCTTTGTAACCGGGAGGTCGTGAGTTCAATCCCCGACCAAGTCATACCAAAGACTTTAAAAATGGTACACACTTCTTTCTCTGCTTAGCACTCAGCATTTGGGAAAGGGTTTGGGAGTTAAACACACACCACTGCCGGTGGACTAGCCCCCTGCTGCAGTGACTGCTGTGTGTGGCCCATGGCTAATGAACGGAGACGCGGGAAGGCTCTTAAACTAACTTTATCTTTAACTAGAGAGGAACTCAATATGAATTTTCAAAACAAGCATGTACTTTCCTTGCGTTGAAACAAACCTTTGAAAGACATTCCAACATTTGTGTTATTAACGTCAAAATGTTCTTAAATTGTTAATTTCGATCTACATGTATTGTTTTTTTTACATTCATGAAGTTTCATACGGTTGGTTTCCTGTTTATCAATGTTCAGGTTTTATGAATGAGTATATAACGCACAGTCAACAACAAAATTCGCAATTTTATCTAAATTAAAAGTTTGAAATATTCAACATTGTTCCGTTCAATTTTTGTTATTTTTTTAAATCAATATCTATGTATTATATATGTCCTTAGACAGATTGTGTATTTTACTTTCCCATGTTACCCATCTCATTGTGAATGTAAAGTCATGGAACGAGCACTAGGCCTACTAACGTGAGTGGGCCACCAAAATGGCGTAAACACCCTATATGCAGTACATATTCGTACATTAAAACGCACGCACGTACTTGTTTCACGAATCTACAATAAGAATACATTAGATATCATAGGAATTTAAATACGTATTCTAACTACTTAGTATGTAAAATATGATACATTGAAACAACAGAAATATGATAAAACCAATGTTGAACGTTCCAATTTTTTGTGCCAAGTTAACAGTATTAGAGTGGACTGTGAATCATACTAGCTCAGCGATCTAACGAATATAAATATAGACACCCTTCATTCCCAGCCCGTACCTCCCGTACAACAGGTGTATCATTACACCAGTAGCCACCTGAGACCGTGGACCGGTTTAGGGCTACTATCTATCACTACAAACGATGGAAAATTCAATTTAGGGCTACACAGGAAAACTGTTACTCAAGCAACTGCATATATTTTGACAGTCTCAAAGAAGCTAACCACTCGATTTTACCAAATTTGTACGAAAAGGGTGCCCGTAGTGGATGCTACTTGAATGAAAAGAAGCGTCTGACAGTTTTCAAAATATTTCAAATCAATCAATCAACAATTCAGTCAATCAATCAATCAATCAATCAATCATTTAATCAATCAACAATTCGGTCAATTAATCAATCAATCAATCGATCAATCAAATGATTTATTTGTAAAAACAAACAAGAACTTGTAGTCATTGGCTAAATTATGTCTTGTTGTACAATTTGCTTTCCTAACATTTATTAATTAATGAGATTACTCGATAAAACCCACATCATTACACACTAATTACCCAGAATTCCAGTTGCTTGTATAACAGTTTCTTCTGTATCTGATCTTCTGTATCTCATTACCTTCATTGACTTGAAATTTAGGGCCGTTTTCGAAGACGATAAACTGACGAAAATTGGTGACTGGGTACTTGTATTCTGAATTTTCAAGTAGATATTATGTTATGTTAACAAAACTAACCTTTCTCGATTAAAAAAGAAACAACTTTGTACTCAATATTTTATTCCCGTTCTTAGGACTTTAAATGCCGTAAACTGAATCTTTGATATATATTTTGTCTGACCCTTGCCTTTTCCCCAAGACCTCAATGAAAAGCGGCCCTATTTGAGCTTCTCATGAATAAAGAGGACTTCCAACAGACATTTATTTCTGTGACTAAATAGACCATTTGGCACCAATGCAGACGGCCTGTGCTCAGTAATACGTGACCTGAACCAGCGATCCGCGAACTGTTCTGAAAGGCAACAGCAAGGAAACTTTATGGTTGACATCTTCCGCAGAATGCAAATCTAATGCGAGCGGGCGAAAAAGAAACAAGGCGGGCCGAAAAAAAAGGTTCCTTTATTTTTAAGTTTTGACTCAAACATTGTACATTTTTATTCAGTGGGAACATCACATATACACAGAAAACATCACATATCACTGCATCAAAGCAAGAAACAAAACATTAAATCTTTTTTTTTTCTTGTCTCCTTTCTTAATAGTTATCTGCCACCCACCTTCCGGTATGGTAACAGAGACATCTACACATATAATTTGCCCATTTTCGGCATGTTCACCACTGTCAGAAGGCAACAAAATGTCTTGTTTTTTCCCCAAAACCAGGCGAAAATTAATGCGCGCTCTGATGTCATCCGTGAAATTTACTTGCTGTGGCCTAAGTCAGCCCCCCCTACAAAATGCAGCCTTTACATGGTGTCATCTGGCATCGGTTTGTACATAGTTGATCTCGAGGATATGTTAGGGGTTTTGAACACTGGCAGGTAATAAATCAATAACCCAGATAACCTTCTTTTTGGTTATCCTCCCATCTTCTGGTGTACACTGATTGGTTTGTGATAGATCACTGCACTGTCACGTTTGTAACGATTCGGATATGGATTTTCCTACGTACAGTGATATCTGTTCTGTATAACAGGAGCTTTCTGACTAATTTGCATTATCTTGTCTTGACTTGTCTGACTTTTGTTCCTTTTTCGACTTTCAAAAATTTGTCTTCACTTTATTTGCATAGTTTGTGCTTATAAACCTGCATTTCCCCTCTGGTCTCTCAGTCACTGACGAAAGTTAGTGGATACTAGCTGAAACGTCTGACGTTTTCAAAATCATATCCAGTTGCTTGAGTAACTGCTTTGCGTATCTGAGTAGAGCATTATAATGTACAATAAAATGTATAATTTACAAAGAAAAACGGTCTACAATCTTGTAGGTGAGTAACCTGAGAGCCACGCTAGAACATTTCTTCAAACCGGTGTAACGCGACCGAACCCCCCGAGTGTGTCAGGACGTCAGCACGGTCACGCAAATCACACGCACTCAGGCAATAACTACTGATTAATGGTGCATTTAACAGCTCGTAATGTGTCAAATTTGCCAGTAAAATGGGCGGGAGCGAACCGCTGTAAAGGCATCATTCTCAGGGCGATTTATCTTTGACTAATTGGAGACCGAAGTAGACCAAAACTGTGTCGCGATTATGTTTCTTTTCCATTCATATTAGCATGAAAGTTCTTTGGTAAACTGCATAATGAGAGTAAAACTGTTCTCAAAAGACTCAAAAGAATTTGACTCATCGTAATTCTTGACCGAATCTCTCAGTCTTTATTATTCTTTTGAGTTGGAGAACAGTTTATTTCTCATTTTATTTCTTTTTGAACAGAAAAAAAGGTAACACTCCATCATCAACTCTTGAAAACTTAAATTAAGTACAAAATATAACGACGATCAAAATCAGGACATGTTGGAGGATTCGAACCCAGGACCTATGGGTTCTTGGCCAATTACGCCTCTCGATTGATGTCCCTATGATATGATATGATATGATATGATATGATATGATATGATATGATATGATATGATATGATTTGATATGATATGATAAACTAGAAAGGTAACATTTGCAAAGCAAATGCATAATGTTTACCATGAATATGGTCTGCTCTGTTAATTCTTACTCAAACACATTCATATACTAGTATATGGTCAGATTGGAGTCTAAATCCCTCCTGCTATAAAATTGCAACATTATGTAACCCAACACTAGTTTACATGGTAACAGCCATCTGGTCCAGGTCATTGACCTCATTGGTTTCGAGAAGAAGAAAAAGAGGAAACAGAGCTAAAACAATATTTTTTCTTCGGTAAACTTAAAAATAATGTTTGTCTTGCAGAGAAGACCATGGAGTTGGCCAAGACGTGCGGAGACAAGTTCAAACCTCCGACCATCCCGGTGACGTACTCCAACCACTCCGGCTACATCGTGTGGAAACAGAGCAGCGCTCTCCTCACTACTCCTCCCAGGGAATGTGGCATCATCCTGTCCGGTCCGGGGGACAACACGCGCTTCTACCTGAAGGTCAGCTACGTGGACATGTACCGTGACGGGGACATGTGTCAGGACAGACTGATGGTGTACAGTGGGGAGAACGTGCTCGGTCCGACGATCTTCAGCGAGTGCACGAGTTTCGGGTTCGGGTATTACCGGGGAGTGGCCTCCATCAACAGCAGCGTGGTGGTGGTGTTCGACACCAACAAGTATCAATTGTCCAAGGGCGACGGTAATTTCAAGTTATCCTATAACTTGTTCTACAATTCCAAAAGAGGTGAGTCAACAATTACAATTCAATTCAATTCTTTATTATTATTCTTTCCAAATGTTTCAAAAAGAGAGAAGAAAGGGCAACTAACATTAGATGATAGGTAGTTTATAGTATAGTTGTAATGTATAGATTCCTAGCACTTTGCATTAGAATATAGCGTACCAGTATGAAATACTCATGTTTTACATACTGGACATCCTCTTGTGCATTTAGCCCATCTGGGCAAGAACATGCAATAAAGATTCATATCATATCGTTATTATACCATTCTGACATACAGTACATAGTGTTGCCTGAATGACATTGGTATTTACAATCAATACATTAAAAAAACACATAACATTACATTGCATTACATACAGACATGTATATCATGAATATATACAACTACTGAATGAACTGTACATCCCAGGCATAGCAAGTTCTGATTATACAGTCTGATTGTATCATCAGAATGATCTTTCAATTTTGTTTTTAATTTAGCATTTACACTGGTGAAAATGAGGTACTAATCCAATGTTCCGTTGCATCCATGTAGGTTAGACATCCAGGTCATAATTATAAGATACGCAAGAAAAACGTTGCTCAAGCAACTTGATAGATTTTGAAAACTGACAGACGTTTTAAAGAGAATCCACTACTATTTGTCAGTGACTAACGGAATCTGTAGTTGAACAGGCATTTATCCTAAGCTATGAATTGATATGTATATGAGTTGAAGATAATTTTAGGAAGTCTGTAGGAAACGTAACAAAGTTGAAGTATTTTTAACAGACAGCCTCTATGCTTCTTCTATGGGACTGATGATGATTTGAAATACAAAATAAGACAAAATTCGGACCAGGCTTAGGCTAATGAGCCAGTTAGCTCCTGTTTTTCGGGTAGATAAGAAAGTGTTATGTCATAATTTTTATTTTATTTCATTTCAACATTTTGATGGCAGGATTCGAACCCGGTACCTTTTGGTTCTAAGCCGAACACTCGATCTGCCTTTACGCCACACGATCCGAATGTACCAATGTACCCAAATGCCACGTGTCTATTCGGAAATGATTGGCTATTAATTATCCTGATGAAGGAAACAATGGTCGTTGAAAAGTTGATCTCCCTTAGTCGCTGTGTTGGAATGAAGTTCAACATTTTAATATCCCAATGTAAGGTTGCTGTTTGATCTTCCAGGTCGATGCCTGAACAGGAATAACATCCCTCAATTATGCTGATGAAGGCGACAGTGGTTGTTGAAAATTTGATCTCCCTTACTCGTTGTGTTGGAATAAAGTTCAACATTTTTCTATCCCAATGTACCGTTGCTGTTTGATCTTCCAGGTCGATGCCCAAACAGGAATAACATCCCTCAATTATCCTGATGAAGGCAACAGTGGTCGTTGAAAATTTGACCTCCCTTGCTCGTTGTGTTGGAATAAAGTTTAACATTTTACTATCCCAATGTGCCATTGCTGTTTGATCTTCCAGGTCGATGCCTGAACAGGAATAACATCCCTCAGCAGGGGCAGCAGGACTTCCTGTGTAATAACGGCAGGTGCATCCCGCCTGATCTCGTCTGTGACTATGACGACGACTGTGGGGACGCGAGTGACGAGGTCGGCTCTGTGGCCAGCTGCCGTAAGCTTAAGCTCACCCTTTTCTATTCTATATTCTTTATCTTAGCACATCAAAATAAATAATGCTAGAAAGGTAACATTTACAAAGCAAATGCATCATGTTTACCTTCGCATATGGTCTGCTTTGTTAATTCTTACTCAAACACTTTCATATGCATTGTGACGGGAGTTTAAATCCCTCCTACTATAAAACTGCAACATCATGTAACCCAACAACAGTTGATGGTGAGAGACAATTTAGAGGTCAGTGTTTGGAACGGAAGAAGGAGAAGACGAAACAGAGCAAAAACAATTTCCTTCGGTAAACATAAAAACCAATAGAAAGAAAATACATAAGATAATTGTGCTGGGGTGAGGTTCGAGGCCAATTTTGTCTCTACGAGGTCTTCCCCACGACTGAACCTAAAGAAAGAAGCTGTAATCAACAGAAAAACTATAAATTGAAATTGATATCAACTTGAAACGTCTGACAGTTTTCAAAATCCATCCAGTTGTTTGAGTACCATTTGTCTTGCGCACTGAGAGAGGAAGTCGATTCCAAAGACCGACGATCAATAATTTGGAAAGTTTCCAGCGTAAGGATAACCGAGTTCCTGGAACAGGTGGACGAACAAGTGGCCATATCCCCAGCTTATTGATTTTTGTGCAAATCGCATGTATCTTTGAGAGGCTTGGGACATACGGTCAGAGGCCATTGGTTTGATGCAACACACAGGTAGTTTACTTTATAATTTTAGGAATCGTTTTCACGGTCTCAGGAAGTAGGGTATAATACAGTAGATCAAGTGCATTTTTTTAAATTTAAACGATAGTCTTTGATTGCATGTTTGAATGAGAAATAGAACGGTGTTGCACTTCCATGGGTATGAAGCATTCTTAGTTTGTAAATATGACATTGACAAGTTCACATGATGTTAAATCATATGCATCGCGACAACAGATATACGGCACACATGGTTAATAACATAATAGCTACCAGAAATCAGGTTAAATCTTCCTCCACCAACCTCTGCTCGGAAAGTAGTTGTTTCACAGTACATCGCGGAGACGTTACAGGTGGTGAAATCGGCACGGTGGTAAAATCTGGGCTGCAAAGTTCCCACATGTCATAGAACCCGAACTGTGTTCGATCGTGTTCGATCTGGGGAATTCGAATCGAACCCGCGTTCTATTTCGGGGTCACCTGCGGCCATTTACTATAAAGCGGCAAAACAAGCCTTTCTACCTCCGTGTATTGCAACAGATAAAAAACAACACTTTTCTATAGATAAAAACAGTTTCCTGGACAGTACATGTCCGCTATTATTTTTGGTGGACATGTAACATGTAGCGAAGCTATTGTCGTATCCTTGGGTGACCTTGAAAACTGTAATGATTCTTAACGCCAGTATGAATAACACAATGCACACTTTCTGGCGATATGACATGTCTCCAAAACTCGTTCAAACCTGGAAACATGGAGAGTCAAACATACCCCATTTACGGCTCAAAATGACCGTAACGGTTGTCCCGAAAATCGTCTTTTAGGGATTTTTGAAAAATGGCCTCAATTTTGAATTATGGGTAATTTAGTGAGAAAAATGTCAAAAAATGCAATTTTTTCACCAATATGTCGACAAAAACTAGACTTAAAATCAGAAATTAAAAAATCCCTAAAACACGATTTTTTGTCTTATTCTTAGTCTGCGAAAAATATAAAAATCGGGGATCTGGGGTAATATACGTAGCCAGGTTTGAACGATGTTTGCCTAAAAAAGTGATATGGCTTGTGCTCGGAAACCCGAAAATAATCGTCTTTCTGAGCGAAATTTTAAAAAAGAATTGATTTAACATAAAAAGCTAACATTTAAAGGATATTAAGACGATAATTTCATTTTAATTTGACTAAATTTGCCCCTAAATATTATTTGTGTATTTTTAAATATTTTACGGGTAGTCCAAAACAGGCCAAAATAGCGTCTTGTAACCCGATACCTTTTCGAACGCGCATAGCAATGGGAAAGAATGCCGTAGTGACAGACCGCCGTGCGGTGACTATTTGACATGATTACCCCTGAGAGAGGGAATATGAAGTGCTCATCAGACCTGAACATGGAGGTGAGTCAGCCTCTACCACAGGAACGTAATGAAAGAAGCAAAGGTCCGCAGTCTGACGGGTAGAGGAGAGACCAGCTGGGCGGGAACGTGACGTCACACGACATGGCGGCGCCATGTTTGACGTGTGGTGACCTTTATGAGTGGCGTGGTTCTAGTCTCTAACAGACTCCTTTGCAGGCTGAAACTCGCAATGCATTATGCATTCCACTACGGTAGAACACCCTTTTTGAAGTCATTTTCGCGCATATAAGGATGAAATCCCGTCTATAGTTTTCGAGTGTTGTGTAGGCAAATATAGCGTCTGCAATGGGCAAAATTTTGATACAGCATTGTCCAAAGAAATATCCTAAGAAAACCATGAAAAAAATCCTCACGGGCCTCACGGGCGCAGTACGTTCTACAGAGGTGCTCTTCTGATGGAACCTCGCTAGTGTCCACCAGACTCCTTTGCAGGCTGAATAAATAGTAGAAATTGGCCTAAAAGGGGGGACATACTTGGCCTTTGTTTCTGTCGCTTAGCGACAATAACAGAAAGGTAACTATCTACCCCACCAACCTCTACTTGGAGATTAAAACAACACAGTTTTCCTACTTTTGTGCTTTCAAAAAATGCTGACGAGGAGCTAAGATGGAAATAGCTAGTACTGTTTGAATGGCGTGGTTGTGGTGACACCCAACCATGGAACGAACTAATGGGATACTTAGCGTAAAGCCGTGCCCACAAAAAAATTGCTTTCTTTGGTCGGCCGAGACTAATGATTTTGTTCCTTCATGTATTCTTTTCCCGTTAACTGGAACGTGGCAGGCATACCGGTCCAAGCACCCCTACTATATGTAATATCGTGTAAGACTATAATATATGCAACGAATTTTGAACTTAGTCTAGCAACTGTAAAAACGTTGGACTTGCATCAGTGGCAGTAAAGCTATGGAAAGAATTCGCGGGTAACTCCGTCTTTGTTAGCCCACAGCACATTGGCACGGATATTTCAGACGCACTTGTACAACCTCGCTTTTCGGCGCCCACAGCATCAGCCTGTACCCACTGTCTACTCTAAACTCTACTCTCGTCTCAGGTTAGCCAGCCGTTACAATCAGATCATCTCCAGTAGCTTTAGACGAGCCATGTCGGCGCACACAGGTTGACCATGAAAAGACATGGCGTAGAGACCACATCGATCTTCTGCAGTTTTCTACTCGCCGCCTGTCACAGATACAGACCGCCGTGACCACAGACGATGGGCGGTGAGAGGGGCCTGAGGTAACGGGTATACTGATGACGTGCCCCGATGTCTAACACTAGACAGGCGGGTCGGGGCTTTGGTAATGGGCACCATCCATCTCTTCAAATTCTCCGTCCCATACACAGGCAGGCAGTTAAGGCCCTGTCACACAAAGCCTAATGTGGCCTCCCGAACACTGGCGAACTCCCCCCGACCAGGCAGGCAGTTAAGGCCCTGTCACACAAAGCCTAATGTGGCCTCCCGAACACTGGCGAACTCCCCCCGACCATGGTCTGGAGTAGAACGGGAGCAAGGTCGGCTGTGGTTGGCTGGTGTTCGGTGAGGATGGATACTTTTCGACTGAGCGGCGACAACTGCATGTTTCAAATTGTTTAAAAATTTGGGTGTCGACGGACGGTTGGGCCATAGTCGGCTGGAGGTTGGTTGGTTGGTGTTCGGGAGTATATTTGCAGTGGTCAGCCGAACTCCAACCGAACATGGTTGGTTGGTAGTCGGGGGAAGGTTCTGAATGTGTAACAGGGCTTAACGGCGGTACGAAAAACAGAATCCTGCATTACAAAGTGCACAAAGTCATGCCTCATGCAGCTGCAAGACTCGTTAACATCAGCCAGCTTCCAGGTGTGTGTTCTTCCATGTAGATCCCCACCTTTGGCAAAACTGATGTAAACTAGTCTGAAGATCTCGTAGTTTGGTTACCGATGTACCCTTTCTGTGCTCCCGGGCTGCGTGGATCAGTACAGGGCAGAGTAAAATCGACACAACCGCCACGAGAACGTGACAAGCATGAAGACTCATCGGACCTTTAACGACACGGGAGTTCTATCCAGGAGTACGTAGGATTCCGTGAAATCAGTGCTGATGGGCTGACTGTTGTTGGTGGAGTTAGTACAAATGTTCTCCGTGCCGCTCGGTCAAGTCAAATCGCGCGGCATACGTGACGGGCATAGGGTTGAGTGCACATTTAGGCCATGCACAATTTGCACACAGAGTACTGAATGAGTGACCTCAAAACTAGAATTTGCTAAAGGACTTTGACAACCTTGGGGGAGAGCATTGTGGTCAACTTTTGCCATTTTGTGGGTGTTATAGTGTAGGTCTTTGAGTAAATGTGTTTGCCCTAAAATGCAATTTTCAGCATACATGACCTTGTTACAGGATACACATGTGGTACTACACCCCTCTTGCTGTTTGCTATCGACGTTGAACAGGGGTCAAAGTGCACCCATGTTTACACATTGCTGTAGATTGTAAATAGCCGTATAAAATTTCCTGAAAAGTTTTGTAAGTACATATTACTAAATGGATTACCAGATGGAATTAATTTTAAATATAATATATAATGCCTAGAGATGTGAAGAGAATCTTTATGGAAACCTAAAAAGAAAAGACCAGCTGGCGGGCCAAGATAAAGATGGTTGGACCAGATCATTAAAATCACAAGACGAGAGGAGCCAGACTTCCGAGTAGTTAAAGAAATAGCTAGCTGAAGATAGAACAGAGTGGAAAAGACTGACCAAGAGGCTGACACCTTACAGGCCTAAGGCCCAGGGTGAGAAGGCTGAGGTGAGAATATATGATGCCGAGTTTTATCTATGTATAGATATAGGTATAGGTCAATACCTAGAATCAACCCTTGCGTCTTCTAAATAGGTGGACTGCA